ATCGGGCACCCTTTTATCAGCTTCTGGCCCCTCCCTCTTTGGGTGACAGGTCAGCGGTGCACCTTTGTTTCCCCTATAACCCGACGTCACGGGGCTAGCTTCGTTTTCCGTTCAAGGCTTTTACTTACATTCCAAGTAAGTGTTGAGCAGTTGCACATTTCGTTTATCAGTGTACACATATCCACGACTCGTTTAAATGTGACAGGAAAATCATGGAAGACCTATGCTCTGTGGATTTATCCCGTACGCAAAAATTTAGTCTGTCATTAGTCCGTTTTCGGTCCGGAAATAGTCCGCACCCCTGTGGACCAGTCCGCGTTCGATCCGTCGTGCACCGGACTAGTCCGCTTTTAGTACCCCCGGGCGTGCGGACTAGTCCGCTTTGAGGTCGCGGCGGCCAAGTGCGATGCCGGACCAGTACGCAGACAGTCCGTCCTCAGCAGACCAGTCCGCGAACAGTCCGCCCTCACCGGACTAGGTCGCTTTCAGTCCGCCCCATGACGGACTAGGTCGCTATCAATCCTCCAATGGCGGACTACTGGCGAACCAGTCCGTCTTGACTAACTACCGCAGCGGACCACGTCGTTTTCAGTCTGCCCGGGAGCAGCGCACAGCACTGCTAAAAAGAAACAATTGTCTTGAGCGAATCCCGAAACAAGTTTAGAATGCTGTAACTTTGGAAGTTATATGAATATTTGCCTCACATTTTATTTGGGCCATCTACACTCTATTTTAGTGGGGCCATTTTAATTTTATTGAAATAGAAGCAAATTTTTCTGGTAACTCGTAAACAGCTTGAGATAGCAGGTCAAAACAGACAGCGGGTTTGGCTTCGCCTCGTTCCTTACACTCTAAGATCAGTTTTCGATTTACACTGTACTGATATTTTACTTTATTTAGCAATAATAAACATTAAACTTTGCACTTTGCCCAATCAATTTTGGCACGGTAGAGGTCAGCTGTGCTACAGATAGTCCGCTTTCAGTCTGCTCTGCGTGCGGTCCAGCCCGCGATCAGGTAAGACGAGGATGCGCACTACAACAGCGGACTTGTTCCAGGGACCAGTCCGGCAAATGGGTCGGGTTTTGGTCGATCTGGCTTTTTTCGCGGACTAGTCCACTCGCTGACCAGCCGGACTCTTTGCGGACCGAAAACGGACTGATGCCGGACTAATATTTTTCGTACGGGATCTCCCTCACCGACTAAACTGCTTTAAA